GAGTGCTTTCAGGTTTGTTTCACCTGATGATGATTAATGTTTGTGTGTGTGTGTGTGTGTGTGTGTGTCTAGGTCAGAGGTAGCCAACAAGGTGCCCGTACCTGGTCGCCCGCAGGGACCATGTGAGTCGCCCGCAAGGCATGTTCTAAAAATAGCACTAGGTCCCCATGGAGCTCCGTCTAAAAATTGTAGTTTCTGTTCATTTTGAATCAAAAGCGCTTGCATTCATGTAGATTTTAAAAGAAATGTGTTGGATGTTTCTGAGCACCAGACTCCCTTTACAAAACCTCTCATTTTACTGCAGCAGGGTCTGACAGTCTGCCCCTCTCAGTCCTGGTTCTGGTTCTCCCGTGCCTCCAGCGGGTCCAGCAAAACGTCCTGGGTCTCCAGCACCGTAGTATCAGTGTTGGCTCCCAGAGAGGAGAAGCTCTGCTCCTGGAGGAGGAGGAGGAGGAGGAGGAGGAGACGCTGCTGCTGCTGCCAGGAGCTGAGCTCTCCTCCTCCCTCCGGAGCTCCGACTGCAGGTCCAAGACTGCAGTGAAGCCGGATCTATGTCTGTCCACGGTGGACCGGTCTCTGCTGGAGGATCTGGGTCTGTCCACGATGGACCGGTCTCTGCCGGAGGATCTGGGTCTGTCCACGGTGGACCGGTCTCTGCTGGAGGATCTAGGTCTGTCCACGGTGGACCGGTCTCTGCTGGAGGATCTGGGTCTGTCCACGGTGGACCGGTCTCTGCTGGAGTCTGAGCTGAAGGAGTTTCTGGTGAACCTGCATGATTTCATCTGATTTCACCAGAATCCGACGCGGTGGCCCCGATGACGAGCTTTAAGAATAACTCTATAGAAACAGACCATCTTCTCTCTGATGGTCTTGTTTACTGATGGAGGTCTGATAGAGGATGAGGACTAAACTGAGACTGCTTCAGAACCAGTTAAAAGTTCCTCACAACAACTTTAAGCAAAAATAACACAATTTAAGAATATAATATGACATATAATATAAAGTAAAAGTCCAGCTTTCAAACTGTTACTGATTTAATGAAATATAACCTAATAAAATATACTTTTATCAAAAGTAAAAGTATGAATTATGTGGAATGGCCCATTTCAGAATCATATATGTTAAATAATTGGATATAATTATTGATGCATTAATGTGTTCTTCACTTTTCATGTTGCAGCTGGTAAATATGGGGATTTTTTCAATTATACTTATCGGAACTATAAAAACAAGAAAAAAAGTAAATGTTTTGACATTAAAACAGTCATGCAAAAAAAAACTAAAAGAAGAATTTGCAGACAATTTTCATGTTGAGCCATTGCTCCCATCAGCGAGAGACTCCAGGAAGCTGCTGGTCCCGGATACCATCACATAAAAAATGGAATTTGGGTTTTAACACTTATTTTGTTTTTTTATTCAACAAATGTAACGAGATGTTACTTTTTTGTGACTGCATCCTCTCTTACTGTCCTCATTCACACACATAGTTACAAAGTGAGGAAACACACAGAGTCACCGCTTCGTCTTCTTCTGGGATTTGCCTCCTCCAGTCTGATTTAAGGTGCTGTCAGATAGTCCATTTTTAAAGAAGCTCTCACCCCCGGCAGTGAGGAGACGCCACTTTGTCTGCTTCTAGAATTTAAAATGTGAGCTGTAATTTAAGGTGCTCAGAGATGCTTCTCAGAAAGATTTAGACGGTGAAAACTTTGGATTGATTTTATAGAAACAAAAGAAGAGAAATCAATATGTGTTCCCTCCTCACTGCTGCTTGTTTCTCTTCATCTCCCCTGAGATTTAATTCCTTCGCCTGCAGAATAACAATCGGCTGCGATGACGCAGCCGATGACTCAGGATGCCATGAATTAAAACGAGCCTCTGACATCATGTTTCTGCCACCGTGAGGTGAGGACTCTCGCTGAATAGCCAAATCATAGCAGATCAATGTTGCTGCTCTTTATTCTGGTATTCTGGACTCGTTATTAAGTATTTATCATTTCCTTTGACCTTTAACCTAAACACGCCTCAGCTTTTGTTCATATATATGTATTTTAAAGGGATATTAACTCTTTATAGTTTGAATTTAGAGGATGACTTGTTTTTTTGTTACTTTTGTATCTTTTCAACTTGCTTTACCCAGAAACGTAACTATATTTTAAGGCAGTTCTCATACAGCGTTCGTAGCTATACCGAAGAAAATTAGGCCGCTGTAATTCGTAGACATCTCACAAAAGTAAATCATATAATCCACGTGATCATAAACTAGGAAGTATAAAGACTGCAAAAGGTCGGACAGGGCAGGTGGGAGGAGAGCTGGATGAGTCAAACAGGAGACTTTGCGAGAAGTCAACATTGATTTATTCCTCACGTAACTTGCGTACCTCAGGAACAGCACTTCCGTAGTTATTTCAACCCAAACCAGGATCTTTTCCTTAACCTAACAATAGTTTTGTTGCCTAGACCTAACTGAGTTGCTTCCTGTGAAGAAGGAACTTTATTTTGAAAAGATAGTATGCATGTAAGGAGCGGGAAATGTGCGAAAAAGCCTGGATACGTTGTTTCATTGGTGTATAATGAAAAGGAGGACTGATCGGCAATCTGCAACTTCACCACTAGGTGCCACTACATCCTACACACTGCTCCTTTAAGGAACATTTAGGATATTGTTCAAAGAAAAACTGAAATAGGAACACAGAAACCTAAAAGATGTTTTGCTGTTATTTAGTTTGATATGTTGAAATAAATAAAGCAGTACTATCCTGAAAGATGATGTTGAGTTCATGTATTACACACTAAAACACTAATCACACAGGAGTTATAAAGGTCGTATACATACAGGTACATACATGACATTTGAGCTCTGCCTGTAACCCATCCTAAGCATCTAGGAGCAGAGAGCTGATGTGAAGAGCTCGGGAATCGAACTGCCAACCTTCTGGTTAAAGGACGACCCGCTCCACAGCCGCCTCAGGAGACCTCATGTGATTTAAAAATGTGTTGTTGCATTACATTGTGGTAAAATCTGTCAATCTGCATCTTTCAATGCAGCTTAAGTGTGAACTTTCTTTATAAAACAAAGCTAAAATCCATATACAGCAACAATACGTAGTGTCATGATTATGACATTTTATGTAAAGCAGTAAGTCAGTAAATTAGTATTTCTGACCTTTTTATTGGCTCATCTGCCCTTAAATATAAGCAATTATTATATTTGATTTGAACATCGGCACACAGGGGTCAAATTATTTAATAATTCTTAACATAAATGATGCAAAATTAAGAAAATAATAAAGATAAATGTATTTCTTTAATCACATTGATGTCCCTCAGATTTACCGTTGCTTTTAATGGATAGAACTAAACAATAATCACAACAAAGTCCTCATTTACCCTCCTCATCGGTCCAAACAGAGCCTGAAGCCTTCAACTAATCCTCATGATCATGAGGCTTCCCATCACAGACACAAATCGATACACCAAACAGCACCACTCAGTCTCTTTGAATTAGCTTTCACCACTTTTTATTCAGCACAGGAGACGACCACACTGTTTGATCTCACTCTCACCTTTTCATTCACTCCGGCTGCTGCAGCTGCAAACAGACGCTCACAGGACACTATTGATTTAAATGTGTGTGTCCACAGCTTCACTTTTCATCCAGAACATGCTGTGCTTTGCCTTCTGCCTGTCTTCATGCTGCATTCAAGGACGTGGGAATTGTGAGGGGAAGAAAAAACAACAGCTTCTCTGTTAGAAATTAGGTTACAAGGCAAAAACAAAATCTTTATTTCAATATTCCTTGATGGATTTTCTGAGCTACATTTTAAAGGAAATATTTGCAGCGAACAGAAATCACTGCATTTAACATATATTTTATATAATACCTCCTAATACATGTTCTCATAGAAACCTAAATCCTGACATATGTTTCTTGCTATATTTGATCCATCTATATCTAATTGCTTTTGATGATTATAAGTCAAAATTATATATTGGCCTAGTTTGCACTGGGTACCACAGCAGACAAAGGATGAGTCCTGAATCACACCTAATCACACCTGCAGGGATGATGTATTTTTATTTAGGTCAACAGGAAGTTAGGGTCACATGGTTTCCCTCCACAAAAAGCCAACCGGATTCTTTAATTTGATTTTGGATTATTGCAGAACATATTCTCTGTGGCAAACAAACATTTATGATACTTTCACATTTTGATAATCTTCACAAATAAGCACCACTTTAATGATTTTAGAGCCATGAATACAATCAGCAGAAGTAAAAAGCTAACGTTAGACTGTAAAGGAGCTCCACCACGGTCACATGACTTCATGTCTCCACCACTGAGCTAAAGAAGGACAAGTGTTCTAGTGAGGACGTTTAATCGTCTCATTTTTTAAGACTCAACCCACTCAATCTGATTATATGGTATTTTTAGATTTTTTTTTTTTTTTTTACGGTTTACTTATTTCTTATACTGTTTGATTATTTATTGTACTTGTTTTGTTTATTTTTGTTTGTTTTTTCTACTGATGTCTCATGTTGTACTTTCCACTTTTCTGCTGTAATCTGGCAAATTTCCCTCCTGTGGGACTAATAAAGGATTATATTATTTTATATTAACAGAACATTAAAATCTGTTCAGCGTGTGATAACCACAGACCTTATTTCAGACATCTAAATAAAAACGTTAAAAAAACACAGTCTTTTTTTATTTTATATTATTTTTATCTTATCTTATCTTGTCTTTATCTTGTCTTTATCTTGTCTTGTCTTATCAAACCCTTTACACACCGTTTCCAGCTCCAATCTCAATCCTAAAACAAACCTACCAGTCTGTTAAACACACCATCACAGTATTCGTCGGTTGTAGATGAAACATTAAATTCCTACATTACGTGAATGCAGCATCGTCGCAGAGGAGCGCACCGTCGCTCTGCGCTCTGATTGGACGTTAGCGGCGGTGGGCGGGACCTGCCTGCAGGAGAGCGGAGACAATAGAGAGACGGAGAGACGGAGCGGCTCGAGGGTGAACCAGCAGCGGGGAGACTGTGACTGACAGCGGCGGTGCAGACGAGCGGAGGTCCCTGCTCCACCGTGAAGAAGAAGAAATAATTCAAGGACTCTGTTTCCTCTTTTCCTAAAAGCAGTCAGGTGTCTGGACGGATTGACAGATTGCATGCAGCATATTTTTAAAGGTAAAATCAGACGTGATCATTTCCCGACCGGTTTAAAGCAATTAATTAACTGCTAATTCAACGCTCGTTTGTGTCTTTAAACGTGCTGTTTCATTCATTGACAGCTCAGATTCTGTGTTGTCACGTTGCATGTATTTGTGCTGCAGAGCATTGCTGTGCACTAACGTTGTGTTTACAATCCGGCTTTGTTAATTAATTCATCTAAACTGCTATTTTTTAAAATTATAAATCATTTATTAAATTCTTTATAATACCAAACTCAGACCCCATGTGAGCAAACAGACTGAGCAGAACAATGGAGCTGCTGTCAAGCTATTGTGTCCCAGTTTACACATCTCTATGCCACTATATTTGAGATTTGTACATTTATTGATCACATTATTACTCTGCAAACATGCTCACGTGCACACACTCCTGCACTATACCATGGCTTCATGTGTGCTACACGTTGCATTGATTGTAATGCGTGCTTTGTGTCTGCAGAGCTGCTTCACACTTCATGTCTTTGTGCTGCAGTTTGTGGTTTTTATGACTCCCAGACTGTAAACAATGATACTGACATCAGCTCTCCAGTCTTGTGGAGGATGATACACTGTGGATGCTTTAAACCTTCATTCTTCATTTTAATTGTTTTGTATTGATGAGAACTCTCTTTATTTTGGGGGAAATGGCATGAAAAAGCAATTTGTAGTCTGCAATTGGACTGCAGAGATTATGCCTCCAGGTCTCTAATATCTGAAATGATAAATCCATTAAAACATTATTTTATTCACATAACAAATATCAACTGTTTTGATACTCATTAATCCTTTTAGGCATTTACCAACACGAGGAGTAAAACTAATGCTCCAAATTCTCTGGTTTCAGCTTCTCAAATGATATGAATTGCTGTTTTTTATTGTCACGTTTTATCTGTTTGAACAAAACAAGACGTTTGAAGATTTCCCTGGAACTCTGGGAAGTTGTGATTTATTGTATCACAATTTTTTGACATTTCATCGACTTTATGATTAATCAATAATGTGTTGCTGCCCTACATTTACCTGAAGGGACATGCAGTCTTTTGGCGTGTTATCATGTAGGCTGTGTTGAGCTGGTCCACTCCAGCTTTAATCAATTAATTGGAAAAACAGTTTGCAAATTAATCGATAATGAATTCAAATGTTTGTTGCAGCCTTATATTTACTTGTAGGGACATGCAATCTATTTTAACATGTCCTCCATTCTCTTGAGGATTTGAGCTTTTGTTTGAATACAACAACACTTTTGAAGAAGTCACCGTTGGATCTGATGAGTTGTGTTGGGTACACGCTAAAACTGTAGATTAATCGATAATGAAAATAATGAATGAGTTAATTGTGGGCGTGGCCTCCAGTACATTGAATCAAGTGTCAACGAACAGTTACAATACAAACAGTATTCTTTCCTGAAGACTATCGTGAGGCTTTCTGTCTGTCTTCTTCTTTTTAAACACGTATTTGTGTCGACAACCGGCTGCGTCGTGGGCGTCATTGTTCACATACTTGGCATATGTTCGAGTTTTACTGGAGCGTTCCCCGAGAGGGCACTGTGGCTCAGCAGGTACACCGGGTCGTCGAATCGGAAGATTCATGTTTCGATTCCTGGATCCACAAGTCTGCATGTCTGCATGTCCTTGGGCAAGACTCTGAAATTACTCCTGAAGTCTGTACCATCGGTAGAACTGGATGGGCAGATGGCTCCTTGTATGAATGATGACATGCAGTGTAAATGGCTCTGAAAATGCAGGTTAATTTACCTGAGAACTCAGACTGTGTAGAAAAACCATTAACACTCGAGGTTGATATATTGCTTATTCTGAGATCACGGCGCAAAAGTCTTCTAAATCGAGCCCTAACCTGTCACATCACCTTAGTGGACCAACACTGCCCCTTCCAGTTATGTGCGTATTGCATCTTGCGGATGTGTAGCGATAAATTCTGACAACATGCACAACAAAAGCTTTCAAACGGACGCAGGGTACGTGAGGCAGCTATTATGCGAACGCTTAGTTAAAAGCAGTTATATCTCCCGGCTTAAAGGAGCAGTGTGTAGGATTTAGTGGCATCTAGTGGTGAAGTTGCAGATTGCAACCAACTGAATAAACAAAACACACCAGGCTCCATGTCGGCAATGGATGGTTCAATTTCTCTCCATAAATGTTTTAATTCAACAACGTTGCTACAAAAAACGATAACAGCCATAATTCATGTCTTCAGTCTAGGACATAATAATAATATTTCACCAGAATCGGTGTTAACTGTCCCAAATTTAGCCGAACGTCGAGTCGCCCTCGCTGCAGCTGATGCTGAGATGTGTGTCTGGTGTTCTTTGCACATTGATGCATGTGTACACACAGCCACACAGCAGACAGAGAGATCACACATTCACTGCAGAGAAAGAAAGTCGAAGAAGAAGAAAGAGAGGCAGAGAGATTAAAGCAGACAAAGGGGGTAACGTTACCTACTGTAGCGTGGGGTTCACAGCAGCAGAAATGGGTTGTTGGCATTAAAGGAGAGCGCCCAGTGATGTGCAGGCACAAAAGCTCCAGTGTGTTCGATGCTGGTCGGCCGAGCCGCGGTTAAATCCTCCCTGCTTTGATGTGCTGTGGGAGCCGACCGCCAAGCTCCACCGGAGGGCCGAGCTGCAGCCCGGCCGCCACACAGGGAGAGGGAGCGAGGGGAGTTTCAGCTTTTTAGTTTTAGCTCTGCAAATATTTCTGGAGGAAAGAGTTGCTCGTGGTGCAGAAGTAATCTCCCTGGTTCTGTTATCTCAGCGGGCAGAGTTAGAGAATGACATTTTACACTGTGTTGGATCACTGACTTAAAAAGGTTAGAACGACTAAAGGAGGAGACCGAAAGTCCCACAGAGACTGGAACCAGAGGGGAAGCCTGTAAAATGTCAGGACTTTTAGGTTTGATTGTGCAGCTTAGCCTTCGTTGAAAAACTGAAAAGGGACAGTCGCCAGGATTTAATTACTCCATTGTATCTAAGTGGGCTCTCTGGGTTGTTCGCTTCTGTCAACAGCAACAGATTGTGGATCAAATTTGTAAGTCAATCGGGGGTTTGTGTTCAGTCCTGTTTGTTTGTTTGTTTGTTTGTGTGATGGCAGGAAATCTCAAAAACATGTTGACATATTTGATCGGATGTGGATTAAAGTAAGGTCATGGGTAAGGTCATGGGTGAAATAGGGGTGAATCGTTTTTTGAGGAATTTCTCAATCATGCAAGTCTTTGTTGAGCATTTTTGCTTTTATCTCATGAATTATTACATTTACTCGACTAGAAATCTATTAAATCTCTACGGCGATGCTCGCGGCTCTGTGCGGCTAATGACATGCTAACATGCTGATGCTAAGCAGGTGTTATATTTATCATGTCAATTATTTTAGTTTAGTTCATTGGGAATGTCATAAACCAAAGAATCGGACAATGTGAGATTTTGACTTCATGGTGTCACTAGATGAACAGTTTTATGGGATCACCAAAGTTATTATAGTTCATCCTGAGGGGACCATGAATGGTTGGGCCAAATTTTATTGCAATCCATCAAATATTTCAACCTCATGGTGTCACTAGAGGAAAAGTCAGAGGATCACCAAAGTTAGTAGGGTTCATCCTCTTGGGATCATGAATGTATGTCCAAACTTTAATGACAATCCGTCCAACAGTTGAGATGTTTCGGTCTGTACCAAACACCCAGTTACTGCTGGAATACAGTATAATTGATGAGGTGTTGTTTCCTGCTCTTTCTGGAACTCTTTCGAGGTGGATCAGACGTTTGCGTGCAGCCAAATATTACTCAAGATGAGAACAATTGTTCCTTATGTATTTTCTCGTTGGCTGACAAATTGATTTGGCATCGCAAATGATTAATTAGGTGCTGATGTTTTACAAGTCGATGTTGGCCTGAACTCAAATGGGGTGACGGAGGCAGCTTTTCTGCAGTGCTTAATGTGTGTCTACTTTAACAACAGAGGCCATTACTCAGCACTTCTGTCAGGTTCTATGGACATTTGCATGTAATGATGTGTAGTTGTGTGATGTTGTGAACGTGCAGACGGTAGCTCCTCTGTCGGTCTTTGGTTGAGTTTTGCAGAGTCATTGCGTCATGAATAGAGTTGTAGTCCTATGATCTTAAAATCCATCCTGAAACTAACTAGCGGTCAGATCAAGGACTCCAGAACTGCAATGTGAACTCCCGTCTTTGTTCCAGTTGAAACTCCTGCATTATTGTTCTGTACACGCTGTAATTGATTTACAGACTTTCTGTGGAGACCTGAGAGCATTGAATTGCAGCAGTTGAAGTCTGCTTGAAATGAAAGCTTGTACAGGCTTCTGTGTCGAGGGGGGAAAAAGACACGTACTGACCTTTTTAGTTATGTTCTCTTTCTGCGAATAGAAAATTAGGCCAGAGGCGGTCATGCATACAATTCTCAGTCTACGAGGAGACCCAAAGCAGACATGACAGATTGGTGCAGGGAGATGAATAAAAGGTCTTTAAGCCCGTTCCCCCTTCAGGTGTTAGACCGAGCCCTCCTGTTTTGTGCAATCGGCCAGTAACATTAGCCGGGAGGTACAGATGGAGAGAAAAGCAGCAATGACTCAAAGCACATTGGCTGAGTTCCAGCTTTGATTACAGAAGAGAATTCCACTGAAAAGAAAGACGGAAGGCGGTCTCTTTCCCCCCTTTTTATCCGGGAGGCAAGCGGGGCTTGGCGCTCCTCGAGGCCCTCTGGGGAGCCGCCATGGCACCGTTACCCTGAGAAGGAGCATCGCGGCTGCTGAGAGCTGGCGTGAACAGAAGATGCTTCTAATTAGTGCTGGTTGTGACTTCTTTCATCTGCTGGCAGTGTGAGAGCACATAAGAGAGTACATATGCTTATGCTCGGGAGGTTTGATGGTCGAGAGAATATGAGCGTGAAACTGCACGCACACATGTCACGGTTATGGTTAAGTGAAGCTAAGAATTACACAAGGCGGCAAGTGAACATGTTGTCCCACTCAGGAAAAAGTGGTAGCAAGTTTTAGCAACATGATGGATTAAATTCAACTTCTATATCATTTAACAAGTACTGAGAAAGTGAAATGCAGTTTATCCTGCTAGAAGTGCAAAAATCTCACATGAGCCACAGAATTAGAAAAACAATGAAAGCTTAATTTAATGTTTTACATTTATTAAATTAACAAAAACAAGCAGAGGATACTCGTTTACAGAAGAAGTCCAGTTTACATCTGAATGCAGCTCAAGTTTTAAACATTTCTGGAAAATTTGCAGAAGAAAATATAAGTTACTGCACGTTCTATCCTCAATTACTATTTTAAAAATAAAGGAATAGTTCAAACAAAGATAATGTAAATTGTCTATAATGCCCTCCTCCTATAGGCTCTCTGTGGTGCCACACAAAGACATGTGTCCAACGGTGTTCAGGAGAGCGCTGCGCAGACAATGTAACACCTGTCGGTGCAAACAGACCGGGAGAGAGAGACGGCAATAAAGATTAGAAAACCTCTGAAACCCTTTCTGAGAAATCCTGTGCAGCATCATCCACGTGTCTTGTAACATTCATGGGAATCAGTACGCACATGTTTACACTAAACTATCTAACAAAACAAAGGGATTAGTGAATATTCTGAAAATGCTTGGTAAACAGTGAAATAATGTTTCCATTGCAGTTTGTCGCGTTTAGACTTTATTGATGCACCAACTCTTCCACCTCATTAAGTGTAAACGCTGCTTTGAGATATTTCAACTTTTTTTTTTTCTTCAAAATTCCAGCATTTCCCTCCAATGTTTTGATGCACAAAGAAGATTTTCTAAGCTGCATCACGAGAGGATTTGTTTGCCGTTTGTACAACTTGAATGTTTAAACCGATCTGCTGCTGTATTTTCTGAGTCTTGGTAAACAATGATGTGTGACACCAGAACAAAGAAACCAGCTTCAGACTGCCTCCTCTTGGACCGGATCATATTTAACAACGCTGAATGCAGTGAGTTCAGTCTTTGTTTAAAGCTGGTACAGAAAACCCATTCTCGTGTATTGTGGTGATAATGTAACTGTGGTGAAGACAAACTGGACGACACCGTTATTACTCAGAATTGGGTTTGAACTCTAATCGAATCACAGAACCAGTAAATGAAAAGAGTGTTTTCTGTTTGCAGCTCTGGCTCCTCGTCCGCTGTGCGTTTGTTTTATTGACCTTGTCAGACGGATGCTGAGTGGACCGGTGACAGACAGCCAGTCGGCTCCTTTGGGTTCAGCTGACTCATCATTTTTATCTGCTTGTCGTACTTTTATGCTCGGCACATACTGTTTGTGTTTCAGCCTCCTCTGTCACTGCAAGAAGACCCAACGTTCTGTTGTGACTCTCAGCTTCTGTGAATAATAAGAACGACCAATATACGTGAGGACGGTTAAATCAATGTGTTGCAGACATCAGGAGTTCGGTCCAGTTGATTTGGTGGTTTGTGTGGTTTGATAACGAGGCAGACGCTCGTTGAGCCGCTACTTAGTGAGAACACAGAGTACCTGGTGTATCTGTCTACAGTGCAGCCACACAGAGTATCATCGCTAGTAGATAATACTAGATACAATACTACAGAAGTCGACATTTACTCAAGTACTTAAAGTGTTAAACTTAAGAGCGTCTTTATCTTCAGTACTGTGACTAATGGATGGATGTGTATCTTATACTATTGGTTGTATTCGGTTGGTATTAGCCTACTTAAGCACGCGTCACATTCTGTTATACGGGAAGAAAAGATAATTGGATTTTGCTAAAAAAATACAAAGATGTTTCCGTATATTGTTAAATATGTGCACAATATGACTAATCGTCACTTAAAGTACAATTTTGAGGTACTTGCACTTTATTTATTTCCGTTTTAAATAACTTTATACTTCTACACAATCTCAGAGGCAAATATTATACTTTCTTCTTCACTACATTCATTTTAAAGCTTTAGTTAGTGTACTGATTTAGATCACTGATATTAAATGTTTAATAACATACATAACTCGTATGTTGTTATAGATTAAGCCACCCACTATTACAAAGTAATACAAGCTTCATATTTACCTCCTGCAACATTAAAGTGATGAACACATTAATGCATCAATAGTTAGAATCCAATAATATTATATATATTATTCTGAAATGAGTACTTTGAGTAGATTTTAATACTAAAACTTTAGTACTTTTACTTGTAACAGAGTATTTCTACACTGTAGTATTACTACTATTAAGGACTTGTTTCAACAGTAAATAACACAAAACACAGTTTTACTGTCACTGCAAGTATTTCCAGTGAAACATACTGTTTGTTTATTGTTTCCACACGTTGTTTTTTTAGTTTTGTGCACACATCTCCACGTCGTGCACGCTCTCACCGTAGACTGGTACACAGATGGACCGTCCCGGCTCCTTCAACACTTTCTCATCCTCGTTAATGAGACTTGGTATAATTGTGCAGCGCCATCAGGGCTGCGAAAGTCTCTGCTGTCGTTCGGATGTCTTGGCCCGCTGCGAGTGATGCAGCAGACGAGTGTCGCTTGGCTTCTTGTGGAAGCAGAAGGAGGAAGGTGAGACAGATTCACTGAGATTGGAAGCCAGCGGGCGCGACGGATCAGAATTAGACTTTCATTAAAGCGGGAGGATCGTTAGTCAGCTGCAGAGGATCAGCTCCACAAACGGCTAAATGCTTCTCGTCTCACATCCAGTTTGACTTGTTCACACTTTGATTTTATTACTTAACCGGCTCTGGAGTTCAGTGTATGACTGCATGTAAACTCAGTGAAGAGTCCATGTTGCTGCAATCATGTTGGAACAACGACGACTTACAGCCAGGAAGTCACTTCATGTTGCAGACAGTTTTGAGCTCAAACTTGTAACTTGTATGTGATGAAATATCTGCAAAACTAATGGCGTTCCCATAAGTTTCAGATCTAGTTAGCGTTTTGAGCTAATTAGCTAATGCATGCAACTAACCAGTGAACTTGTTAGCATTGTCATTAGCCGCGTTTCCATTCACATATTTTTATGCTCATTTTGAAGTATCGTGTTAGAAAAGATGTTCGGAAGCAAAATTCAATAAAACTATCTTAATTGCAGAAAAAGGTTTTACACTCAGTTGAGACGTTTTTTGTTTGAAAAAGATTTAATGCGCTAAACTAATTATGGAAACGCCTGAATACATTCTGACATACGGATCATTTAAAATGTTTCCGCTGTCTGTGTCCTCCTGGATAAATAGTTATATACTATATATATATATTTAAACATAGCCAATACTCTGACATGAAAGAACAATTGAAACTAAATCCTGAAACTTGTCTCTATTTTTCTCTCGGAGATGGTTCAATGGCGACTTGTTTTGTCTCTGGTTCACAACCTCTAACTTCTTCTTCTTCTCTGTTTATCGTTGGATTACATATTTCAGAAGTTCACCTAAGATTGTCTTGACAATTGCCTGGAAACATGACTAATGTGTCTCTCTCTCCCTGTGATCTTTGAAAAACCAAAAACCTTCTCATGAACACAAAGTGACGATTGAAAGGTTGAACGAAGTTCTTTTGGCCTGAACACAAAGCATTCTGTCCACACGTGCACGTACAATACAGTAGCTGTGTTTACAGTGGAGGGGGGGGTCACATAGTGAACCTTTCTCTTCCTTCCTGCTCCTCCCGTCCCACAGCAACATCCGTCTCCAGACCAGACCCTCGGCTCCGGCCCGACCCTCCACAACAATGAGCTCCTCGCCCCGCGGCTCCCGGGCCTCCATCGACATCCTGGAGGAGCTCCAGCTGATCGCCGCTCAGAACCTGGAGAAGCTGGACATCAACAAATACTACGAGGTCGTCTGTGAGCTCGGGAAGGGCACCTACGGGAAGGTGGACCTGGTCGTCCACAAAATCAGAGGTAACTTCTGTTGGATGCTTTTTGCAGCTAGCTTTGGATTTCTCCACATGTTTAAGTGAGCGCTACTAGAAACAATAACTGGAGTTTAATACGTAATTCAAAAATGCATTCGAAGCCCTCTTAACTTTCAGACACACCTGGATGTAACAACTGACGATCACCCAGAATTCATAGAACCGACACAGTAGATAGTGACAGGGTAGAATATATGAATGCATGAACGAATGAATGAATGAATGATTGATCAGGAGGACGTACATTTGCCATTGACAGAAGACGTACTCTGATCATTGAGTTGTATAACAGTAACGATACCACAGTGCAGAAATACTCTTACAAGTAAAAGCCTACAATCAGCATGTTACTTTAGTAAACATACAAAAGTATTGGCATCAGAATATACTTAAAAAGTACAAATACACAACATGCAGAACGACCCCTGTTTATATTTATAATGTATAATAATCATTGATGCATTCATGTGTTCATCGCTTTACTGTCGCAGCTGGTAAACACGCAGCTCATTTTAATACTTTATATAATGCTGAGTAGTTTAAACTATAATAATACATCAGAATGTATGAGTTGATTTATATTTTTGTATTAATAATCTGAGTAATAGATAAATGTAGTGCAGTAACGAGTATGACGTTTGTCTCCTAAACGTAGTGGAGTAGAAGTATAAAGCAGCAGAACATTTAAATACAGTAAAAGTACCTCAAAATTGCACATAAGTACAGAGGTTGAGAACCTCTTCTCAGAGGTTGAGAAGAGTTCACCTCCTGACGTGTTTGTCAGAGGGAGTAGATCTTCAGGGCTGCAGTTGGAGGAAATAGGACGTTGTTCTCTTCTGTGGCTCTTCGTTGTGAGTCAGAGTGATACGACTCTCTGTCGTTTTATATTCTTACTGACTTTGGTGTCGCAGCAGCAACAAACGCTGAGAGAATAGAAAATAATCCTGTCTTCACTCGGGTGAAGTGTTTACTTTTTCGAGCCGCTCTTTAGTGCAGAGCTTCAGAATCGATCTGGCACCAGACGGCCTGAAGTCACGACTTAACTAATAGAAAATCTGTTCAACCTTTTTCACATTAAAAACCCAAAATGTTGCCCATCTGCCCAGAGCTTCTAAATCGTCTCCTTTATGGAGCACAAAGCTCATTTTCAGAGCGGCTGATGAGTTCTGACCTTTTCCAGCCTGTAAAGTGCAGTTAAAGCAGAAGATAATGAAAGCAGGTACACGTGTTTGTCTTCTTAATGCATCCTTTATCAGAGAGCCAGTGTGCTCTGTATAAATGTCATGTTAACTATGAGAATAAACGGGCTGAAGAAGACGGTGTTCTGACCTTTTGAGTTGTTATTTTGTGCAAACACGTTTTAGTGAAGAAGGGAACTTTAATGAAAATCAATCACAGATTTAGTTTCTGTCCTGAAACACTCCGAGTCTGTTCAGAGGAAAATAAAGAACTGTTTATCTGTGCACTTTAGCCGGCAGGCTGATGTTAACAGAGCGACTCATTTTCCATGTAAACATGAAACTACTGTTGATGCTGCAGGAAAGTATATATTTACTCCATTTAGAGAGGATCTGCTGACTTCTGCTGCGTGTTTGGGAACGAATACATTAATGTTCCGGAGTCGGAAAAGGATACGAGTCAACAAGTGAGTGCAGAGGTAAAGAATATCGTGAAGTCAGTTTGGTGTTGCTGCACCAAGCCAAAGCAGTATTGGAATCAAATAAAGTACCAGAAGTAAAAGGTCTCTTTCTGAATAATATATATTAAAGTACTGGATTATGTACTATTTAATCATTGATTTGGTAATTAAATGTAATGTTGCAGCTGGTAAATGCAGAGCTAGTTTATTACTGCTGTGTATCTTAACATATATTATATAATAAAGTTATTTGTTGAATTGTAGTGTTCTAAATCTGAAAGGTAGTATTGCTTTCAAATACATTGAGTAAAAGTACAATATTTACCTCTGAAATGTAGAGAAGTATAAGTATGCATACAGTACTGAGGGGGGAAAATGCTCTATAACTCCAGAACTTTCCTCAGACTCATCACTCAGTGATATTTATATGTACATCCAGTGGTACTCTGCAAAGAAGAACTAGTACTAGATGATTCAGCCACTTGAATCAAATGCAAATTTATAATATGCTATATTTATAAGAAACCTCAGGGAGATGATAAATTTACACCAGAGCGTCATGAGAAATGAGCGTGATGGAAGAAACATTTATTTATTTATTTATTTATGGTGGAGGTAGTCCTTCTGCATCACGGCGTTGGGAACAAGCAGACCTCCTGACCTTCTCCCAAAGAGTGTCTGCACTCTGTGAAACTGTAAAACTGCACAGAGCTCTTTGCAGAGCTGACCCGGTGGTATTGGAGAAGCGTCTCCTCTCGTCCTCGCTGACTCTCTGTTGGTGCAGAGAGAGAGGCAGACGTGGCTGCTCTCCAGCTTGTACTGTCTGGGCTGTTTCACATTTAGCTCTGCTGGTTTCCCCTCGCTGCTCCTCTTGTTGCAGTGAAGTGTCTGCCGAGGCGAGATGATGCATCCGAACCTCACAAATTACTTTCCCGTGTTCCCTCAGGACGACTCGATGCGTTCCTGTGAATCTTTTACATTATTAAATCAAGAGGCTGGTCTTCGTTGCCTTTCTAATCCAATTTATGTCTGCAGCCGTTGATGTAAAGAAACATGAACAGAGTGGTGTAACTAAGTACATTTAGTACAGATTCAACATGTTGTACTTTTTACTCCACTGCATCTCAGAGGTACATGTTGTACTTTGTACTTCACTGCATCTCAGAGGTACATGTTGTACTTTGTACTCCACTGCATCTCGGAGGTACATG